TGGTTCCTGTGGGGGCTCCAAGGGGGGCTGTGGCTCCTGTGGGGGCTCCAAGGGGGGCTGTGGCTCCTGTGGGGGCTCCAAGGGGGGCTGTGGCTCCTGTGGGGGCTCCAAGGGGGGCTGTGGTTCCTGTGGAGGATCCAAGGGGGGCTGTGGCTCCAGCTGTTGTGTGCCTGTTTGCTGTTGTAAGCCCGTGTGCTGCTGTGTGCCAGCCTGTTCCTGCTCCAGCTGTGGCTCCTGTGGGGGCTCCAAGGGAGGTTGTGGCTCATGTGACTGCTGCCAGTCCAGCTGTTGCAAGCCCTGTGGTTGCTCTTCTGGCTGTGGACAGTCTTGCTGTCAGTCCAGCTGTTGCAAACCTTGTGGCTGCTCTTCTGGCTGTGGACAGTCCTGCTGTCAGTCCAGCTGTTGCAAACCTTGCTGCTGCTCTTCTGGCTGTGGTCAACCCTGTTGCCAGTCCAGCTGCTGCAAGCCCTGTTGCTGTCAGTCCAGCTGCTGCAAGCCTTGCTGCTGCTCTTCAGGATGTGGTCAGTCCTGCAGTTGTGTCCCCGTCTGCTGCCAATGCAAGATCTGAGCTTCACCACAGTCCTCAGTGGCGCCTATGGATCAGATGTTTTGTGCAGAAACCCACCCTTGTTCTAAACCCCTGAGGCACAGCTCTGGACTCATCTACTCTGCAGTGTAGAAACTGGAGAGTTCACATAGGAAAAGCCTGCCCCAAGACCTGTGAGAGGGGCATATGGTCCTCCCCATCCTTCATCTCCTCTGGATGATTTCAGAAGCGGGAGCAAACAGTCTTCCTTCCTGGCTCACCTCCCTCTTATGGAATGTTCTAGCTCCTCTCGAGTCCCTAAGGAATGCTCTTGCTACCATCTCTCCAAATCTCTTGTTGATCATGATTCACTCTCGACTTTGTGATTCCTTTAAATAAATACATATCTCCCATGAATTCTGTTCTCAGTGTAATTCTTTTCTTACTGCTTCTGTTTAATCGCCATTACAACACCTTCTTCTCTTGGAACCCCTGTGTGAAGCAAACTGCTTAATGCTTGGCTGCTAACTGAAATGCTGGTGGTTCAAGTTCACTCAGAGCTATCTCTAAATAATGCTTTGGTAATCTACTGACTAAAAATATCAGCCATGAAAACCCCATGAATAGTAGTAACCTGTTACTACAGCTGACTGCTGTGAAAGGGATCACATTAGAAAGACTTGGATAGAGTGGGATAAAAATGTGGGAAAAACTCAAAATCATTAAAAAAAAAAGAACCCAACTAGGCTCATTGGTCATATAGAGACTGATGGTGCCCCAGAGACTATGAGCCTTAGACATCCCTCAGGTCTTGAAGGAAACTTGTGTCTATAGCTCAATATTCATTCAAAACAGTATTCAGGACAATAAGGAGAAAAATAACACTAGAGAGGGGAAAAACAACAACCCTGTAGACCATATATAGTTCTACTATAACAACATGGGGTTTACCATAAGTGGAATCTGCTTATGAAAAATCAGCAGCTGAGAACCTTGTGGAGCAACATTCTACCATGACACAAAAGGGTGCAGGGGGTGACCGTGAGTGAAATCTACTTATGAAAATTCACTTAAAGCTGTGGGGGCACAGTTCTACTCTGACACACAGAAGGACACCATAAGTGGAATCTACTTTTGAAAACTCATCCATTGAATACTCTACTTGGCAAAGTTCTACTCTGACTTTTAAGGGAGTACCAGGAGTGGAATCTACTTATGAAAAATTAGCGGCTAAAAATCCTGAGGAGCATAGTTCTACTCTAACACACATGGGGGCTTCTGAGTGATTCTAACCATGAAAAATAAGCTGACAAAAAGCCTGTGGAGCACAGTTCTACTCTGACACACATGGGGTGGCCTCAAGTTGAGGTCAGCTTGGTTGGAATCTATTTAACAGGTGTCCCTTACAAGGGCCATTGCCTAAATCAGGGTCCATTGAACCAATTCAAGTTCTCATATCTTGAATCCCTTACACAACATAGAAATGTATGTGTGTATGTGTGTGTGCATATGCCGAGAGAGAGTAGCAACACAGATGTGTATAAAACATGAATGGGTCAGAGGGTGGGGCTATAACCAGCCTGCTACAGTGCAAAATCACCCAGTGACTTCTGGAAAAAGAGGTGTGACTTTTTCTTTTTCTTTTTAATCTTCCATTCTTGTGCTCTCCCTTGTCATACCCTCTCTGCCAAGCCCAGGTGTCTTCACGCATGTGAGAGCACACCTCTAAAAGGGTCCAGCATTGTACCCCCACAGGGTACAATTCTCCCACAGTGAAAAGAGAAAGTAGCTGAAAGTCCCAGTCGGCTCCAGAGGCTAATCATCCATCAGATTCTTATGACATCTGACTGGAATTTAGCTCTGAAGTTGGCTCTCCTACTTGGGCAGGAGCTTGTATTCCTGCCTTATGTAACAAGGAACAGCTGGTTAGGCCATACAGCCAAGCCATATTTGCACCCTGTAAAACCCCAACATAAAAGGCAAAAGCCAAAGCCAGCTACTATATACAAGAACAGTGTGTAAAACCAATACCTGTTAAAAACACACTAAAGGGAGAAGGGTGTAGTCATTTGGAGAAGGATACTGTGGATATGCAGAGACTCAACTGATCGTCAGAGATAAACGTGTGAACAATCTTTCTTCCACTCATTTCTCATTCTGTCTGTGCACCTGCATGGTGTTGACTAGAAGGGTGTCTGAGTGAGTGGACATCTCCACCCACCCCTGGAGGTTTCTACTGTGTACACACACTGATCTGCTCAGCAAAGGCTACTGGACTAATTTGCTACTTTTTTTGTGTGTTTTTTTGGAAAAATGAAAGTGTTTTCCTTTTGTTTCTGTTTTTTGTATTTTTGGTCTCATTTTTCCCCTTGGGGTGGGAGCTTTCTCTCCCTACGTTATCCAAGAAGAGACAGCAATTGTGGCCATATAACCAAGCTACAAGCATCTCCTATAATATCCTGCCATCTGGGTAGGAGCCAATACCACTGCTGTACATTACATAGATAGTCAACACTTGCTAAGATTACTCTTAGTTGAGTAGTAAGAGACATGAAAAGGGAAGCTTATCTCTGGATCACATCTACCAGGAGGTACTCAGTAAACTTAATAATAAAGTAGCATACATTCATTCAATTATTGAAAACACATCTAACTATTCAAAATGTCCAAGAAACAATGAAAGATCTCATCACATATCCATGAACTAAAAAGAGTAACTGAGACAAATGAGCTTGAGATAGACCTAGACTTCCCATTAGAAGGACAGCAGGTGTTGGACTGCCTGAGAAGGGATTCACAAGAATGATATTGAGGTGCATCCAAATGCTCCACAGAGCGGTGGATGAAAATAAGGAAGAAGTCAGGAAAGTGCTACAGGAACAATCAAATAAGATAGATACAGCATTGGAAACAATTCAAAACCTGCAAAAAGAGGTCCAGGCAATAAATAATCAAATATCAGAAATGGACAGTACACTGAAAGGGCAAAGAAATAGAATTGAAGAGATGGAAGCCATACCCAGCAAGCTGGAAGATAAATTTCTCAATACTGCTAAGACAGAAGAGCAAGCAGAAAAAGGGATTAAAAAATCTGAATAAAGTCATGTTGGACAACATGAAGAGGAATAACTTAATAATTATTGGCTTTCCAGAACATGAAGAA